GCAGCCGCTTCTCCCATATGAGTCTGGGTCCCCAGAGACTCACCTGGAACTGGAGCTCAGAGCCTGAGACTCCCTCCCAATTGAAAATGACAACCGTGCCCTCAGCCGCCAGCCCACTCTGTGTGCGCTTCTGTACCTTAGTATTTTACTTCTGCACTGCGCCTCCTCTGAGTCTCGGTATGCTTTTCTCTTTCCTTCTAGTTGTAGAATTTCCTCTCAGCCAGCCTTCCTGTGGTTCTGGATGATGTCCGTTCCGTCTTTTAGTTGTATTTTTGAAGTGGTTGTTCGAGGCAGCAAACTCCGGTGTTTAGCTATGCCACCATCTTGTTTTATTTTCCCAAGAGTTGTTATTCTTATTGTAAAGAGTAGCTGTGCTTCTTGGCCAAAAGTCTATCTTTGTCTTTGCTTCTTGCAAAAGCTCTTTCAATCTCAGGGTGATAGCTCATAGAAATAGTAACAGGAAGTCAGTTTTTAAAAAGACTCAATTTGAGCCCTAACCGGTTTGGCTCAGTGGATAGAGCGACGGCCTGCAGACTGCAGGGTCCCAGGTTCAGTTCTGGTCAAGGGCATGTACCTTGGTTGTGGGCACATCCCCAGTAGGGGCTATGCAGGAGGCAGCTGATTGATGCTTCTCTCTCATGGATGTTTCGTAACTCTCTATCCTTCTCCCTTCCTCTCTGTAAAAAATCAATACAATATATATATATAAATAAAAAGGCTCAATTTGAGCCATTCAGGATCGTGATTCTATGGGACAGATATTTAATGGGCCTCTATTAGTACAGCGGCACAGCATTATGTACTGGAGGGAATACCAAGGTGATAAAGGCAGTCCTTGCTTGCAAGGAGAATAATCTAAGAGAAACACAGCTGTGATGAGTGGTGAAGAAAGGCAAGCATGATAAGAGAAGTGAAAACTGCAGTGGAAGCTCAGAACTGGGAGAAATACCTGCTGCAGGTTTGGGGGAAGACTTCATAGAGGAAGGATTATTTTGCAGGTGTGAATTTTTACTAGGCAGAAACGTGAAGGGGTAGAAAGTAGCCTCATTGAGCACTGCCTATAGGTTGTATGTGAAAGAAAGCAGAAACTGAGGCTGGTTAAGGTAGTGTCCTTGTCTGCTGTGCAGACTGGATGGCCTAAACAAGACATTTATTTTCTCACAGTTCTGGAGGCTAGATGTCCCAGATCAAGGTGCCAGCCCATTCCATTCTTGGTGAGGACTCTCCCCGGCTTACAGACGCTGCCTTCTTGCAGCACACACACACACACACACACACACACACACACACACACACACACACTTCTCTGTGGCTCATGCAGGGGTTGGGGGAGCGAGGGAGAGAGAGAGAGAGAGACAGAGAGAGAGAGAGAGAGAGAAAGTGAGCTGATGTCTCTTCCTCTTATAATGACACCAATCCTATTGGATCAGGGTCCCATTCTTACAACCTCATTTAACCTTAATTACTTCCCTTAGGCCCTTTCTCCAAATATAGTCACCATGGGAGTTAGGGATTCAACATGTGAATTTTGGGGGATACAATTCAGTTGATAACCGGTGCCTTGGGTTACATTTGTGGAAGATGAGAATTTGAGGGTTAGTCATTGGGGTTTTATTTCTCTAGACCAGCACTGTCAATAAAAATATAATGTCAGTCACATATATAATTTAAAATTTTCTAGTAGCCACATTAGGAAAAGTAAAAATAAACAGGTGAGATTAATTTAAAATATATTTTATTTATTCCAACATACCCAAAATATTAACATTTTAAACTGATAAGAACAGATGCTACACTTGACCTTAGCCAAAAGGCTGAGAAGCAATTATATTAACATTTTAATATGTAATCAATACGAAAATTATTAAGGTAATTTTACGTTCTTTTTCATTTGGGTATTAAGTCTTCAGAACCTGGCATGTGTTTTACATGCACATGGACTGGCTGTGGTCCGGGTGCCCAGCACTCCCCTATGGCAATGGCTACCATATTGGGCAGTGCAGCTCTGGGCAGCAGGGGCACGGGCAGCACTGGAATCATGTGGTGCAGGGATGGGAGATGTGGTTCGGGAAGATTAGCCTGGCACTGGTGCTTTGGGGTGGAGCAGAGAGGGCAGGATCCAGGGGATGTAGTCAGGCTCTTATAGAGAGGAGGGACCTGTGTGATAGGGTGGTAACTGAGAAAGGAGAAGGTGGGTAGCTGGGACAGAAAGTGATGACTTAGTTTACGTTTATGTTAAAAAGGCAGCAATGTTTTCTTTGGTGTGAGCTCACCTTCTAAATGCTTGTCTAGGGTTCACTTACCAATTCCCAGCTTTCCCACTGAGCTACCTGTGTTGGGAAGTTCCCTTTCCCTCCAAGCAGCAGGAAAACTCCAGCCTTATGCAGAAGTTCCCCTGAACTGCTTGCAGCCCAGCGACCCTGCTCATCTCTCTCGCCAACGCTCATGATGAAACATTTTGGATCTCACGATGTGCAGAGCTCTCAGATGGTGCCGCACGATCAAACTCGAAGATACTCTCCTTCTCAAATGTTGGGTTTTCTCATTGTCTGACCTGCTTTTCTCCTCCACACCCCATTATCCCTACTCCCCCTTTCCCAGCAGATATTGACGAGTGCGAACTGGGCGTGCACACCTGTGGGGAAAATTCCACCTGTACAAACACAGAGGGAAACTACACCTGCCTGTGTGCCAGCAGCCTGTCTGAACCCCAGCGGAGTTGCCCCGGTAGGTTGGTGGGTTATCTAGATCCAAGGGGAGGAGCTCGATTGGGAAAATTCTGTACCCCAATGTGTTTGCATTTGAGATTCCAGAAAGCATTTGGTTCCACCAGGCTGTCCGGTTTGCTTTCCCGATTAGGTTGACGCTGGGCTTGAGAATGCGCAATGGTCTGTTTTTTAATTTTGATAGCATATGGGATAAATCCGTCTTCATTACTCACAGTTCAGTGAAGGAGGCAACACAGGTGGCTCTCTTTAACTGCAGCGAATGCCCCGGTTTGTGGTGTCAGTTCCTCGGGCTGCTGGGGGAACCGCAGGGCTGGGCAGGTTGTGGAGGATGTCTGGACCTTTCGCATTTTGAGTCACTTTCAAGGATTTTAAATTTTCACTTTAAAAAGTTAGTATTTCTTGATCTGATTAGAATTCCAGCTGTTTTTTTCTCATTTTTTTAAAAAAACGTTCATAATAGTCAACTCCTGCTTCCTGAACCCTCTCCCCATAACCCAGCCTCTTCTCACCATCACACCCCAGCAGGGGGCTGGCCTAGGAGCTCCGGGGCAGGATCAGACGTGTCCCCTTTACTAGTTACCCCGACAGCTATTTATCCAGCTCCACGCTGCAAGCAGAATGCATCCTAAGAAAGGAAAGTCCTGGCTTGCTTGGGTGTCTGTTTTTTCTAACAAACCATTTTCTCAAATAGTTTGCTCTCCCTAAAGGTATTGGAAGATTGCTAATAGTTACAGAGTCAGCTGCACACCCTCATGTCTTGCTTTTGAAGAGCAGTGAACCATTTGGGGAAAGGACTTTACCACGTTGGCATTTCCTATGTGTGGTAGCATTTCTTTTCTCTCAACGGGACTAGTCTTGTCTCTGAGGTTCTCCCCTGAAAGTGAAATAGTTTTTAGAAGAAATCATTGCGTGGGAGAAATTTTTGAGACTCCCAGGACAGCAGGGGTCATGGACTGTGTATGGGTGGGTGGTTCATAAGCCATAAATAGATATTGTGGTTCAGCGAGACCCTCTTAGAGCTAGTCGTCATTTCACATGTGTGTGTTTGTGGATGGCAGATGTGCTTTTATAATGAGATCAGTGACTCTGCATTCATTCGGTGTCTTAGGATTGACCATTCTCTTATTTGCCTCCAATATGCTTTATGTCAAAAAATACTGCACCTAAAGAAAGAATGGGCCTCTTCGTGGCGAACAGCAGAAAGTCTCGTTAGGAAAGTGAAACTGTTGTTGCTTTGGTAGTTCCACTGGCACTAAAAGGCACCATTTCACAAATTGTTCACAGAAACTAGTTCCTGACACTGATCCAGGTTTCCCCTGACACTCAAAAGCTAAAGTGAAGCAAAGTGAAAGAGCAATTGCTACCATTAATTTTATATAGAAAAAGTTTTGAGCATTCCAAGACCAATAATGATAATAATAATAATAATAATAATAATAGCCCTAACCAGTTTGGCTCAGTGGATAGAGCGTCGGCCTGCGGACTGAGGGGTCCGGGGTTCAATTCCGGTCAAGGGCATGTACCTCGGTTGTAGGCATATCCCCAGTCGGGGGTGTGCAGGAGGCAGCTGATCGATGTTTCTCTCTCATCGATGTTTCTTACTCTCTATCCTCTCCCTTCTTCTCTGTAAAAAATCAATAAAATATATTTGGAAAAAAATAACAATAACAACAACTTACCAAATCATACCTAACGCACTTAATTATATCCAGTGACATCCTCAGGAGCGTGTAGGCTTTTCTGCTACCTTAGAACACACCTTGCTAACAGGTGCACAGAATAAAGGGAGACGAGTCGCCGATGCTCACAGACAGTTCAAGGCTATGGAGCTTGATGCTGAGGTGCTCAGTGTGGTTCCTGGGGAAGGAGCGTGGCCACTCTCGCTGCTGAGGTGCCTCTGGCTCGCTAAGGGCTCGTGCAAAACACTGAACGCTATTTTTGCTTTTTGTCTTTTCTTCCTCAAAGTGAAAAATCCTCTTTGGGCTTCTGCTGGTTAGCGAACGCGGGCACTGATGGATGTAGGGCTTTCGTAATGGGAAGTGGGTACTTGTACCTGAAGGATGCTGCTAGCTTCAGAAAATAAAAGTAGAATCTTTGATTCTTCTAGACTCGACTCCACCCTCTCACCGCAAGGAGGATGGGCGCCATTCTGTGAGAAATGGTTACTCGGAATGCCCCCCGTCCCACGCCGGGTACTGCCTCCACGGCGGCATGTGTATGTACATTGAAGCCGTGGACCGCTACGCATGCAAGTAAGTGCAGCCGCCTTTCTGGTGGCCCAGAGAGGTGCCCCTGCAACCCATAGCTTCCAGCTGACTTACAACCTTTGTAGTGAGGAGCATTTTCTATAATTAGGTTTTCCTCAGGGAATCATAGATAAATCTGCATCTATACATTGTGAGTGTGTGTTGCATTCTCCCTGCATATCACCCTGTCCACCCCCACAGCTGCCTGTGCTAAATATACATTTAAGGAATTGGGTGATTTTCCCTTTTCCTTAAATAACTTGATATTACTACTGGGACAGTCTGGGAATTAAACTGCTCCTTTTGGTTGAAAATCTTAGGTTTGTGAGAGAATGGCTTACAGCGTTGATTTCTTTTCGGCCACATATATGGAGAGCGTTCATGGTGTGTTTTTGAAGTTACACAAGTGTTGTATATAGTCACACTGGACTTCTTGCCTTCCATTCTCAAAACTGAAATATATGCATTTTTTTACTTAATTTCCTAATAGTTGATGTTTGCACTGTTGTTGTTTCATGGCATCTGGTGGATGGAGTCACAATGGCTGCTTGCCTCTCTGTCCCCAGGATGGTTTCCCAGTGGGCAGTGTCACCTGCAGCCCTGTAACCCTGCGGCCCTCCTGCGCACTCACCCAGAACACCTTCCCGTGGGGCCTTTCACAAAGCGACACTCACAATGTCTAGTTCCACCTCAATTTTACTTTTTGTTATTTCCATGTTTTGAAGGCAATATGAGGGAATCCATGGATTCTGAAAAATAAGTAGGCCTCCTAATGCTAGACTTTTGACTCATTGATAATTTTCTCTGTGCCTGAGGAAGGAGTGATAAAATATTCTGATTCTCATGAATAGATGCTATAAGTTTAAAGGCTTTTATTATTTACAATTTTTTTTATTGATTTCAGAGAGGAAGGGAGAGGGAGAGAGAGATAGAAACATCAATGAGAGAGAATTATTGATAGGCTGCTTCCTGCAAGCCCCCTACTGGGGATTGAACCTGAAACCCCGGGCATGTGCCCTGACTGGGAATTGAACCATGACCTCCTGGTTCATAGGTCAATGCTCAACCACTGAGCAACACTGGCCAGGCAAGGCTTTTATTATTTATCAGTGGTAATCAGCAGAAACATAGTCTAAATTATTAGAAGGATTAAGTTATATTCATTCTGTGACAAAGTGGATGCCTTGCATTATAAGTCATTTCAGCCTGACAAAAATAATAAGAATGCTCATGAATATTAGCAAAAATGACTCAATTCTAATAAAAATCTGTTTCCATATTCATATTTGCATGCTATAATTTTCTAACCTAAGATAAATCTAGTGTTAGTTATTCTTGATTTTGACAATAAAATCAAGTTGTTTTACTTGTTCGTGGTTTCTTATCATCCCAAATAATGAAATTATGAAAACAAATGTTCTAGTTTATTAGGTCCTTTTTTTGTTTTTATAAAAGACTTTATGATAATACGAACTGTACGAAAGAGTTAGGCATTGCAATTAATATGTTATGTTCATCTGGACCTGGTAGTGTCAATTAATTAAATGGCTTGTAAACTCTAACACATTGCTTTTTTTCCTACCATTAAATCTTGATGAAAATATCACATTCCTCTGATAATGTTTTAAAATGTGCTGTTACAAAAGGACCAACTGGAGATCAGACTCATATTTGAGGGCCTTTCATCAAAGTCAATATCGAAACTATGGCAAGAGTGCCCATTAATTTGGATCATAACTTTGTTTTTGAATTCTACATTGAATTAAACTGTGGTTTAATCAAACATTCAACCCTTCCCTCTTCCTGCCCAGTGACATCACCTTGTAGGTTTTAAATTCCATAATGACACATCTCTTGGGAGCTCTCTAGTCCAACTTTTTAAAAAATATATTTTATTGATTTTTTTTTACAGAGAGGAAGGGAGAGGGATAGAGAGTTAGAAACATTGATGAGAGAGAAACATCGATCAGCTGCCTCCTGCACACCTCCTACTGGGGATGTGCCCGCAACCAAGGTACATGCCCTTGAGTGAAATCGAACCTGGGACCCTCAGTCCGCTGGCTGACGCTCTAGCCACTGAGCCAAACCGGTTAGGGCTCCAGTCCAACTTTTATTAGATACACTTCATGGGCAGCATCCCACACAGTGCTCCCAGCGCTGGGAGCAGGTTTATAAAGGGCGCTCTTTCCTTGCATGGACGACAGGGACCCCGGCTGCCCAGGGTGCAGGGATGTGAGGACTGAAGTCTCCATGCCAGGGGTTTCTCCCAAGGATCCCGGGACTGGAGATCCTCAGAAGACTCCAAACTTCCTGAGCTCAGAAATAGTCCTCCCTTATTCTGGTTAGGCTTTGAACCAACCCACACCCTTCCAGGAAAGTCTTTTCAGACCAAGATCCGTCCGCACAACGTGTGAAGAAGCTTGGTTGGCCTTTACTTAGTCTAGAATTTCTTGAAATTATTTGACCATAGAAATGGAAACTTAGTTGGCCAGGGACTCTTTTGTTTGGTTTAAGAGAAGAATTCAATAACCCAAAGAATCAGCCGTATGCAGCCCACGCTGGCTAACTTGTGGAATGCTGACTCACTGCTCTGGGTCCTATTAGACTCATAGAGGCTCGGATATTGCAGCCCGTCATGGCCTCCATATGGTGAAATGTATAATCCTTGGTATATTCCTTGAAGACCTTAAAATCTCTGAGAGGCCCTGACTGGTTTGGCTCAGTGGATGGAGTGACAGCCTGTGGACTGAATGGTCCCAGGTTCGATTCCGGTCAAGGGCATGTTCCTTGGTTGCGGGCACATCCCCAGTAGGGGGTGTGCAGGAGGCAGCTGATCGATGTTTCTCTCTCATCGATGTTTCTAACTCTCTATCCCTCTCCCTTCCTCTCTGTAAAAAAAATCAATAAAAATATATTTTTTAAAAATCTCAGAGAACTCGAGGTGTGGCCCATTAATATCCAACAGTTTAAAAGTGTGTGCTAGGCTTTGATAGTTAATGTCTATAACCAAAGATAGCTAGAATGAAAACAGATGCCAGGACAGCCTGGAATCACTTCATAGTCCTGCTGTCTCTTGCCTGGCCAGTTCTAGAGTAGCTTTCAGACGTGCATGTGGCTTGTATAGTAGGAAGAACATAGGCTTTGAAATCCACCATTTGCATGGAACCTACCAGTCACTAGCTGAGTGACCTGGCCCAAATTACTTAACCCCATTTTGAGCCTCACTTTCCTCATCTGTAAAATGGGAACAAGCCATCAAAAATTAGCAACAGTGTCCAGCACAGTGTCAAACACATAAGGCGCTTAACAAATGCTAGATCCTTTCCCTCCCATCTCTGAAAGTGACTCCCAAAGCGCCTCCAGGTAGAACTAGGGCAGCATCAAGATATTCTGGGGCTTTGTCTAATGTTCCTTGCACGTGGCCCCTTTCTACCATGGGGTCTGGTATCAGTTCTCTCTGTTTTCATTCCGTGGGGTCCTTTTGGAATAAGGCGGCTGCATGAATAGATAGATAGCGGGCCCAGGCTCAAGGGGAGGACATTCCTACCAAATGAGCATCACAAAATATTTACTAGGATATTTTTTAAGTTTACGGCCCCCCACCCCCCACCCTGGTGAAGAATAATAAAACAAAGCAAAACAAAAAAATAGAACTGCCATTCTTCCCAGGATCCACACAGTTTGTGGAAGCTCTCAATCCCAGTAGATGGCAGCATTGTTTCACGTACTTCCCTCCGGAGGTTCAGCGAGCCAGTCGCTGGTGGTTAATTCTAGCAAGTTTCACTGGCGAACTGGCAGGGAAGGGTTGAATGTTTGATTAAACCCCTCCGTTCAGTTTCTCCCCTTTGAAGACAGTAGGCAAACGCCCCTGAGAGCTCTCCTTCTGGGCCTGTGGTGATGGAAAAGGAAGATGTTTCCTCCACAGACGGGGCTGTGCTTGCTGGCTCACATTCTTGTCTGGCCTGGGCTCCAACGAAGGACTCGGCTTTCCACGCCACCCGCCTCCGAATGTAGATTGCATTGCGATCCGGCCAAACATTTGCTCGAAAACTCGCTTGGCTCCTAGGGCAAAGTTGCTTTGTGTTGGTCTTAAAGGCAGCGCCTCAGGATTTCCGCCCAAGAGTAACTGATCTTTAATCAATGCCCTGCGCTGCCTGGGAGAGGCCGTGTGCGAAATCCCCCCATCGATCCCAGGGCAAAGGGACGAAAGGGGAAGTCCACGCAGCATGGACGTGTGGAGCGGAGGCTGGCCCCCCATGGATTTCCCATGTGCGTCCGAAAAGCTGGGCCTGGAAATGCAGAGGCGGCTGGATATCGGGCCTGAAGAAGAGAAGCGGTTCTGCCCGGGCTCCGGCTGACCGCTCTGTGTGTGTGTGTGTGTGTTGTCACAGCTGTGTCGTGGGCTACGTCGGGGAGCGCTGTCAGCACCGCGACCTGAAATGGTGGGAGCTGCGCCACGCGGGCCGCGGGCGGCAGCGGAGCATCACGGTGGTGGCCGTCTGCGTGGTGGTCCTGGTCCTGCTGCTGCTGCTGGGGCTGTGGGGCGCCCACTACCACAGGTGAGGCCTTCCGTCCACCCGCACCTTCAGCCCCCAGCCCCTCCCAGGGGAACCCCTGCCTCCCTGAGAGGGGCGGCTGCACCCCTCTGCACTGCAAACGGGGCTCACAGCACAGGACGGTGACACGGGGTGCAGGATCCCAGCTCCGAGACGGCAGCCGTCCCCCTTTTCCTGCCCCCACTCCAGTCCTTGCCCACACGCCCGGGTAGTGCATGGGGCTACTACTAGTGTTTAATGAGGCAGTTTCCTATCCACTATTTCCCCCCTCTGGTACCCGCTTTCCCCTCCGCCTGCATAGCTGTACTTTCTTTCGGGGCTGTCTTCCATTGAGTTGATGTCCCACAAAGCACTCGCTTTTGTTCCAGCAAATCAGTATCTTCCCCAAGTCGGAAGGAAGATGTTGGTCCTTGGATTTTGTGTTTCCAATCATGTCAAGTTAAAAGTTAAAAACGGTGAAACAATATCTGTACATTTTATTTTTGAAAATTGACACTACATTGGGGTGAAGGTGTAGGCATCACACTGCTGATGTTCCATTTTCTTAAAAAGTAGGACGTCATCCTCCATGACCCTCAACACTGAGAAACGTTTTATGTTCTGTTATAGTTTGTGCTGCATCAGGTCACTGAGTTGTAACACTTTGGGGCTGAAGGGAACTTTATTGAGTCATCGAATTCGATCGCATCATTTTAGGGTCCAAAAACCTAACACCCACTTAACTAATAGGCCCCAATTTCTGGGCACGTGTGGAATATCTACCACCATCTGCCAACAAAACTCCAACCACACTCACTGGTACTACAACCCCTCGGGTGTCAACTGTCTTGTATTATGGAGAACTCAACATATTCAAGAGATGCTTGTCTGAGATCCTGCTATATCCCAGTGTAGAGGTTAAGGACATGGGCTCTAGAATCACACTGCACGGGTTCAATTCCTAGTTCATGTTTAATTAACATTGGGAGCCGGTGTGGCTCAGTTGGTTGGGCATCATCCCATGCACCCAAGGGCTGCCAGTTTGATTCTTCATTGGGCCACGTGCCTGGGTTGTGGAGGCAGCCAATTGATGTTTCACTCTCACATCAATGTTTGTCTCTCTTTCTCTCCCTCTCCTTTACTCTCTCTCTCAAAATCAATTTCAAAAAATCTTTAAATAACACCAGGCATGTTATCTAATCTTTATATTCATTAATTTCCTTTGCTGTACATGGGAACAAGAATAGTACGTGAGAGTTACTGTGGGATTGAGTTAATCTAAGTAAAGCATTTAGTATAGGTCTGGCATTTAGGACCTCTCTGTTGTTATTATTATGTTTTTCCATGAACTGTAATCTTCCCCCAGAGGGTCACATGTTTCAAACCCTTTTCTATTGCAAGACACAAGATTCCCAGGCACGACTTGAATTTTTAACCCAGTGGTCCATCAGTAACCACTGCATTCCGGTATTCAAACATGATCTCAGATGTCTGTCTGTGGGAAGAATATTGAATAAGCAGTGCTTCGTCCCATTGGACAGAATGCCAGGAGAAAAATAGATGCTTGGGAAATAATAGTGTAGACAAAATTGGGAGCAAGAAACTCAAGGTTATGTGAGCCGTGATTATCAAATGACTTTTCTTACTCTGCGCTATGGCTTAGTAATATGTTTTATGTCCCACTGATGTGCTTCAGAGCTCTGGATTGAAAGCCAGGGGCAGATCGCTGGCTTTTCTTACTTAGGATTCAAAGACCAGCTCAGCTGAAAGATGACTGGAGGCTTTAAGAATGCCTTTGGCCTCTGACCCCTGTGTACCTAAAATCAAAAAACTGATAAGGACTACTCCTTCAAAAGGAAAACTTATCAGAAGTCTTTTTTTTTTTTCTTTCCTTTTTGCTGAAATGCATCCGGAGTTGTGAAGTTTTTTCCTGAACAAAGGTATGATTCCTTACCGAGCAGCTCTGGCCAGTGGAACTGCTTACCTCACCACAAATTTTCAGCTATGTTCTTGGCTGCATTTGTATAGTAGCTGTATCGATTCTGAGAAGATCAAATTAGAACTGCCACTCTAAATATTGCCATGTCACTAAAATGTGCCAATAGATACGGCGGCTCTGGCTTTGAGTTATTTATTTATTTAGAAAGAGAGATAGAGATAGAGAGAGAGAGAGAGAGAGAGAGCGAGAGAGAGAGAGAGAGAGAGATTTGTTGTTCCACTTATTTATGCATTCAGTGGTTGATTCTTGTATGTGCCCTGACCAGGGATCAAACCCATAACCTTGGTGTATTGGGATGATGCTCTAACTAACTGAACCAACTGAGCTACCCAGCCAGGGCTCTAACTTTGAGGTTTTACGTTAGACACACTAAGTGCCTTTCTTTAAAGAGTCAGTTATTCCTTACTTTGTACCAGTCCTTGCCTGTCTTGTCTAGATTTTTTGAGACTGTTGGTCTTGTATATCTCTCAAAAGATGGTTTGTGAAACGAACTAATTTCTGAAGTATTGGATTATTACTTTATAGCAACAGAAAGTATTCTGTGACAAACTGTAACTCTGTCACGTTGGAATTGATTACATTAGCCACTTGCTTCATGCCTTTGATTAAAAATAATCCCACACCCTCTCCTGGATGGAAGCCTCAGTTACAGCGAATTCTCAGCTCCTGAGATGGGGCTTTCACAGCAGCGCCTACCTTCTGCTGTCCTTGCTCAGACGCCCAGGCAGACCTATCGGACACAGGGTGCCCTACTACACGGAATTAGGCTGCGGCAGGCCCAAGACAGCGTGCTGCTTTGGACTCCCGGGGCTGGCTGGTGGTCTGCACCATTGCATTTCCTCGCCCCCCGCCCCCGCCGCCTTCACTCTATGGCTGCTCCGTATATCATACACCCCTCTCTCCCCCTTGGGAGGCACTGCTTTGAGGACAGGGATCTCACCTTAGTTCTAGATCTCCCTTCCTTCCCCTCCCTCCAGTGCATGACACCATACATTGTATAGACTCCCTTTCCCCCTAGAGCAGCGGTTCTCAACCTGTGGGTCGCTACTCCTTTGGCGGTCGAATGACCCTTTCACAGGGGTCGCCTAAGACCATCCTGCATATCAGATATTTACATTATGATTCATAACAGTAGCAACATTACAGTTATGAAGTAGCAACGAAAATAATTTTATGGTTGGGTCACAACATGAGGAACTGTATTTAAAGGGCCAGAAGGTTGAGAACCACTGCCCTAGAGCATGATACCATGCATTGTGTAGACTCAGCGCTAATTTTTTTTCAGCCAAATACATATTTATAAAGCTGAATTTGGAGGTAGGAGGCCTAGTCTAGTTCCTGGCTTGGCAACTATGATACGAAGTGCTCTTGGGCCTCCACTCCCCGTGTTCTTGCCTGTAATGCCTGTGAGCAGGAGGCCTCAGTGAGCCAGTGGAAGGAGCCAGG